GATTGAATATTTGCAAATGTATCCATCATAATCATAATAACAATGATCATTAAGGCTGCTGACATATATTAAGCATTTTTCCCAAGGGAGGTGCCATTTTAAGATCTTTTCCCGCACCACTCCACTTATTCCTCACATTACCTTATTGGAGATAGACCCTACTACAGCTCCCCCTTTGCTGAAGAGGATATTGAAGGTCAGAGAGATTAAGTAATGCGGCCAAGGACACAAAGCTAGTGATGGTGAAGGTGAAACACACACAGATCAGTCTGATTTTAAAAAACAATAATACATGTTTTCAAGTATGTTTCTTTTCTTTTCTGTATTTTTATTTTTGTGTTTGTTTTTGAAACAAGGTCTCGCTCTGTCACCCTGGCTGGAGTGTGGTGGCCCAATCACGGGATCATGGTTCACTGCAACCTCCACCTCAGGGGCTCAAGGGATCCTCCCAACTCAGCCTACCGAGTAGCCAGGACTACAGGCACACATCACCATACCCAACTAATTTTTTGTATTTTTAGCAGAAACATGTCTTGCCATGTTGCCCAGGCTGGTCTCAAACTCCTGGGCTCAAGCAATCTGCCCGCCTCAGCTCCCAAAATGCTGGGATTACAGGCATGAGCCACCATGCCCTGCCCTTAAATATGTTTTTAAGACCTACCCTGCCATCAGTTCTTCATCCAGAGAAGTAATGAAAATACAGTTAGCCCTCTGTATCCATGGGTTCCAAGTTGCCATTTCATATGAAGGATCTGAGCATCCATGGATTTTGGTATCATCAGCGTTGAGGGGAGCCCTGGAACCAATTCCCCCATAGATACTCAGAGACAACTGTTCTTAAAATGTTGAACTCTCATAGGATGGTTGCTCAGGACCTTCTCTCTGGTGGCTGTTGGTCCATTAACCAACATGTTTGAGATCTGGATGACTATCCACCCAGAAGTTTGTCTAAAATGACTATATTCTCAGTCACATTTCTCATTGCTGAGATATTGTCACATTCCTTTGAGGTCATTTCTGTCTCATCTCCTTGAACTGCTAGTCTAGTGGTCTTTTTTAAAAGTACTTGATCTTACTCAAGGTATGCTGGGAACCAGGTCCCGTGACTTTCTTTCTTGTCATATTCACCATCTGCTGTAACCTGTCCTGGAATTTGCTGGAATCAGGGTCAGGGACGCATCTAATTTTGGGAATCAACCTTGACCCCCTCAGAAACCTTCAACAACAGTACCCTCTGACCCATGCTGTAGCTTGTTTCCTACTACCAGTTGTCGTGGTTTTCAGTTATGTCATTTACCAGGTACCCTGAAGAGCTGAATGTATTTTGAGCAGTATTTCCAAAACGGCAGCCTTGGGCTGAGTCTACTCTGCAGACAGGTGTTCTTTGGGTCTGTACAGCATTTCGAAAACTTCTGAGTTCCTTGCTGGCATTTAAAAATCTGGGCAGGGCAAGCATGAAATCATTCAAGGTGTTGACTTATGTTGAAAAAAATCAAAGATTGGACAACATTGTCCAGTCTTTGGGCAGCCCATTATATGTTCTTGGACAACGTTCTGTATGTCTTCATGGCTACTATGGTGGGCTAGAGTGGGCAGTAGCTGAGGTCCTCAGGTTCCTACTCCCTCAGTCCTCTCAGTTATCTCCACACAGATCTACACACACTTCATGCTTGTATTTACCTGTCTGGCTTGTGGAGTCATCTGAGTCATTATCCCTGGTGTCTGCAAAAGCCCTGAACTCCTATTCCAAAATTAATGTTTACATTTGTTCTGCCCAATGCATGCTTGATTCTTTCCAGCCTTAAGACCTTGTTCCTCAAGGGAGAAGGTGGAAGCAAAATAAGAGTGGAGAACTTCTGCTTTCTTACTGTCATCTGTTTAAGTTGCATCATCTGCTCCCGATCCCTTCCTTTTCCTTCTCCCTCCAAACATAGCTCAAAAAGCCCTTTTTATCGTCCTTCGTATTTTTTTTTTTGCAAGCCTCAGCTCTTTCCAGGGTTTTGTCTCCTAACATGCTTCTTACAGAGGCAATGCCAGTTTGCATTTGTTTCAGGGTGGGATGGTGCATCAAAGAACACCACACCTGCAAAAAACAACTAAATTAGAAACAAGCCATCTTTCAAAGTTCGCAGTGGGATCTACTACATCAAGAAAAAAAAAGTCGGTGCATATTTTTTAAAAACATTATAAACAAATTTTTAAGAGATTTTAGGAAAGAGGCTTAAAGTTTTTGATAAATTTACAAATTTACACATCCAATGCCAGTCTAGGCATCAAATGTGCTTACCTGCTCTGACTTAAAACAGGTCCAGCAGGGTTTGACTTGACCTAGAGACTGGACGCCAAACTTAGTCCTAATCAGACCGTTACAAAATGCTCATGTCCAATTTCCAAAATAGACTCAGGACTAGTGCATCTGTTTTCTGTGGTGGGTGGATAATATTGTTGTCGTCATCTGTAGCACAGGTTTGCCACAGTTTATATGAGACATGGAATTTCAAAATCAAATTGTCATTGTATGTTTATGATATCTACTACTGCTATCTTAAAACAGGGCATCAAGGTAAGCTGGCATTTAACAAGAGCAGCAAGAGTGATCTTATTAAAATGTAAATCAGGTCATGTCATTATGTGGCTTAAAAACATCCAGTACCTACCACGATGTGCGGGGTTGAAAGCCCACCTCCTACCATAGCCTTCATGGCTCTGTGTGACCCGGGCCCTTCTCCAACCACTTCTGCTTTGCTCTTTTCCTTCCAGCTACATGGACCTGATCTCTGTTCCATAAACAGGCCAAGTTCATCTCCACTTCAGGCCTTTGCATTTGCTTTTCCCTCTGCCTGGGCTGGGTTTTCTTCCCCAGCTTTATGGGGCCACCATTCTTACTGCAGTGGAGATTCCCATTAACTGAAATATTCACTCCCTAGAGTGGGCCTTCTCTGAGCACCCTGATTAAAACAGGTCCATCCTCCCATCCTCTGCCACGCTCTAATCCCCGTCCTGATTTATGTAACTTCATAATGCTAAGCAATACCCCAAAACACAGACTTCTGTTTTATTTGTTTATTATCTATTTCCCCCGTAAAAATAGAAACTTTATAAAGGCAAATTATCGATTTGTCCTGTTTACTTCTACATCCCCAGCATCTAGCACAGGGCCTGGCATTTAGTAGGTGCCCAATATGTATGTGCAGGTATAGATCCAAAGGCCAGAGAGCATGGGTCACAAGAGGAAATGAAATGTTAGCACGGCCCGAGTGGACGGAATTCCCTTTGTGGTGGTCTGTGTGTGTGTAGGTGCACATCTGCATGTGAATGTGTTTGTATGCATGTGTGTGAACATGTCAGTTTGCACATGTGTAAAAATGTGGTTTTTTTCTGTATGCATGTTTGTGCACATGTATAAGTGTACATATGTGTGTGAACACCCTTGACAAGAGGTGAGTCTAGAAAGGGAATCAGAGAACAGACCAGGAGGGATTTGTTAGGCGGGGTAAGAAGTATAGACATTAAAGTCAGAGCAATAGGGAGCACTTCTAAACTCATTGGTGTAGTCATTCACATTGAGGAGTCTGTAGGCAGATTGCTCCTGGTGTTCAAATCTTGTCTCCTACGGACTGGTGGACGTGAGTAGGTGACTCATCTTGGTGGGTTAGACCTCAGTTTCCTCACCTAAAAATGGGAGTAATAAAAGTGCCTCCCTTGTAGAATTGGTGGGAAGAAATAAAATCAGTGCACAGTATATTTGCACGGTGCCCGGTATGGTGTAAGGAATCAGTAAAGTTTAGCCATTGTGGCTATTATACTCGGTATAAATACACAGTACATGCCCATTGACCCAGCAAATATGCTTCCTTGATTTTAAGAATGTAATCCATCCAATTGCTCACAGGTACATGTATGAGAATGTTCTTTGTAATATTGGTGAAAAGAGTGAGGATTGGCCAGGCACTGTGGCTCATGCCTGTAATCCCAGCATGTTAGGAGGCCAAGGCAGGCAGATCACTTGAGTCCATGAGTTCAAGACCAGCCTGGGCAACATGGCAAAACCCTGTCTCTACAAAAATTAGCCAGGCTTGGTGGCGCACACTTGTAGTCCCAGCTAGTTGGGAGGCTGAGGTGGGAGAATCACCTGAGCCCAGGAAGTCAAGGCTGCAGTGAGCCATGATCACACCACTGCCCTCTAGCCTGGGTGTTAGAGTGAGATCGTGTCTTAAAAAAAAAAAAAAGTGAGAATAGGCAAGAACTTATTGAAATAAAGAGCAATGGGAAGTGACTTTTCCTTCTAGATATTAAAGTGTATTGTGAAGCTTACGATAGAAAAACAATATGGTACTGACAGAGGACTAGATAAATGAACAAAAGAAACAATCCAGAAATAGGACCTGGTACATGATACGACTCTCCCAGAGAATGTGGGCTTCACACCGTCAGCATTTTTGATGTTGTGATCACTGCAGTCAGCCCAGCCCCTAGAACAAAATCTGGCACATGGGAGGTAAGAAAAAGGACTTAAAGAATATATGCCAAAATGGAATCAGGATTCTTGTGTCTTTTGTTTTTGCTATTCTTCTAATGTGTGTATGTCATCGTGATTAAGAGGATGAACTTTTGTGTGAGACAAAACTGTAGTTGACCCCAGCTCTGCCTCTGATCAACTGCTCCTGGTCTTCTATCCTAAATGTTTGAAAGAAGAATGGTACCTACCTTATTGAGTGTGGAGATAAATGAGATTGCATACATGAAGCACTTAGCTCAACAAGTGGTAACTGCTATTTAAAATGTTCCACAACTCATTTTCTTCCAAGAAGTAATATATATGTTTAAGTAACCAAAATAAATGAAAAGTACATCTTTCCCTGCATTTTCCTGTAGCTTGTTTAGCATCTCTGCAGAAATCTCTGAACAGTGAGACCTCCTCAAGGAGAAACTTTTCTCAGTGACTCTAACCCAAGAAAGTAAAGGGCGACGTCTCCCTCTTGACCTTTGGCAAATGCAAAGGGTTACATTATGTCCTTTATGATACTTTTTTAAGCCAACACACTAAACATAACAATACATAACCTAACAACAAAAGACATGCCTATTATTTTTACCATGATTACCACTTTTTTATTTAAAAGGGCAATTCATGCTTATTGTCGAAATCTGGAAAATGCAGAAATGCACAAAGAGTAGCATTTCACCTCTTTCACCTCCATGAGCTGGTCATGATTGATATTTTGGTTCACATAGTTAAGTTGGCATCTGTTTGGGAAACTTGTTTTTTTACTTCATTGTATATTGTAAATATTTTCCTCTGCTGTTAAATAATCTAAAACATATAAAAATGCCCCGTCAGGAAATAAAAACTCTGTCTCTGAGGGCCACATGGTTTCTATCATTGGCGAAGCAATCTATTGTTGGTAATAGAGAATGACTGAAAAATCCACTTGTCCTTGTCCTTCCCAACCATGCCCAGAGAGACACATGCATTCTCAGGATGGATGAGACAGGAGGAAGGAACTCAGGTGTCCCAGGCTCTCCAATATTAGAGCTAATTGAGAAGTTTTAGGGAGAGAAGTGACATGGAAGTCAGGAACTCTTTCTCTCTGCTAGTTAGCTGAGTAGTCACACAGTAAAGACACACACACACACACACACACACAGTTATACATACCAAAATCTCAGTTGAAATCTTTGGATGGTGGGATGATGGACAATTTTTATTTTCTTCTTTTCGATCATCCATATTGAAAACAAAATGTCTCTAATGAGCAATTAAAGGAAAGATAAGAAAGATTGTGCATGTCCTTCCAACTCTAAAAATATACTACAGTCAACATTTTGGAATAAGAAATCATATAGCCTATAGAGTACACCTGAGTCATTTTCTTTCTCACATTGTGGGAGGCAGCTGTGGATAATGTTAGTCCTGATTTCCAGTTGCGATGGCATTTCAGGTCCTGATGAAAGATACCATGACCTTCTTGGGGTACCTTGATCACTCTGGGGTGCCTGTCCCATCACAAAATATTAAGCTTAGTCCTCATTTGAGGAGCACAGAGTGTCGGGTGTAAATTAACTGATTCTGTAACATGTCTCTCCTAAAGTCCCATCACCCTGTCTTTTACTTCTGGGGGAGGTACATACAAATGTATATGTACACATATATAATTTATTGGACGGCTGGCTCATCAAGTATATTGGTTTTCATAGCTCCACTATTGTCAGCATGTTTCAGATTGGATTTGCTGCTGACATGGTTGAATGAAAAAATACTGACATTTTTCAGTATTGCTCTTGACACTTTTAGTAGTATTATTAGTTGTTTCATTCCTTGCAGCATCATTGTCCGAATGGGATCGTGCTCAAAAAACACCCAAGTGCTACTCAATTCTAAGGAGGCGCCTGGCTTTGGGGTGCTGCTGTTTTACATCTCCCATGAAGCTGGGAGGGCAGCCATGTCAAACTATGGTGCAAATTGCAGGTGACACCTGCTGCATGGAAAACACCTGCAGAGCTAATTTGGAAATTATTTCAGGGAGAGATTTTTTTCTTGGAGAGAATGGTCCCTTTCAACTTTATCCTAATGAGGAAGATGAATCAACATTTGTGATTCTGTGTAGGTCTTTTCTTCCACAGCAATGACCACCACCTCTATTAATCTTCAATAAGTCCCTGCAAGGTTGCATTTACCCAAATTTCTTATAAGCTCTTATACACACACCAAAGCAAACACATAGGCTCCAAGGGTGTATGTGTGTTTGTGTGTGTATGTGTGTGTGTGTCTAAAAACATGGCTTTGTAGGAAGAAATAAACAAATGTATTTAATGCTTCTATGCTACAAAGGACCCACAAGTGTTTGCATATAAATAGGGTTGTTACATATTCAAGGTTTAATTTTTAGCAAAATGTCCCAAAAAGAAGAGGAGACTCCAGAAATAGACCACTTCATTGAGAGGCAGAACTTGAGTTCTATCCTTGTAAAGGGCTGTTTCTAGGGTGTGAAGAACTGGGTAAGCACACTCAGGTCATGTTGCAGAAGACACTTGCTCAGCTCAAGATGACTTCTGTCATCTGTTAGCTTACAGTTGTAAAGAACGGCTTTCTCTAGTTGGGCCAACTTAGTAGCTCATCCATCTCCCATACCCTGAGTATGGTTTAAAGTTGAGAGTTCTAGAGTAATCTACGCTCATTCAGCAAACCAATGTGGTGAGCATTTCTTGAATGTAAAGGGATCCCGCTGGATTATGTGGACCCCTCAGGCCCTAATTCCTTGGACCTGTTGAGAACGAGACACGTTTATCTCTTGCCAGGTTGTTTACCAAACAGAATGGGTGTTTTTTTATCCATAAAATCCTCCTCTGACAATTTGTGCCTGGAGATAAATGGCCTTTTCCATAGAGGCTTTAAATAGGGGGCATAATGGGAGTGAGTGGAATGGAGTGGAATAATTAGATCGCTCCCCATAAATCCTGTGGGGAAGTTTTCTGCACAGGATGCTTTGCAGGACTGTATGTTAGCAGGCAGACTCTGCACAGTGTGGATGCAGCTGTGCACCATGCCGGGACAGTAGGCAAGCAAATTGCAGATGGTGGAGACGTGGGCAGTGTTTAACTCCCTGTTTTCCCTGTAGAATTTGTCTCATTCACCAAAGGAATGTCCACATTAATTTGTTTGTATTTGTTTTTAAATATTTATTTATTTATTTTGAGACAGTCTTGCTCTGTCACACAGGCTGGAGTGCAGTGACAGGATCTTGGCTCACTGCAACCTCTGTCTCTTGGAGTCAAGAGATTCTCCTGTCTCAGTCTCCCAAATAGCTGAGATTACAGGAATGCGCCACCATACCCGGCTAATTTTTGTATTTTTATCAGAGACAGAGTTTCACCATGTTGGCCAGGCTGGTCTCAAACTCCTGACCTCAGGCAATCCACCTGTCTCGGTCCCCCAAAGTGTTGGGATGACAGGCATGAGCCACCATGCCTGGCCTTAATTTGTTTTTATTGCTAAAAATATGACACTTTCAGGGCTAATTTTTGCTCACTTGCTTCAAAATCAATTTTTAAAAAATAAATGCATCTGACACATCTTGGTTATGACAGGTGGGAATAAAAGCTGCCCCATTAAGATGGGAGAAAAAACAAATTATTTACTGGAAAATTTGGAAGATCTCAAGAAATTGAGATATGTTGGCTGGAAGACTAGAGGAGCTGAAGGTGTCTCATCCATACCATTTGTGCGCTTCTTAATCTCCAAGCAAGAGATTATATAGCATCTACTATATATGTGTACTAGTCTACTGGGTTTAGACTAGGGCTGGGGCCGTGTTTCAGTTCATTTTTTATTCAGAGCACCTAATAACTCATGGCACAAAATAAATCAAAGAGCATTGTTTTTAAAGGGCTATTTGTTTATTTATTTATTTTACCCCAAAGAGAAACCCTCTTGAGCTATTGACATATACTAAGCTTTCTTCTGAAATTAGCTCGGAATACACTGTGGCTTCACTTTGAGGATACTGATAATCTAGGTACGATGATCTAGGAAATGTTGTTGAGTTGACCTTTAAGAGGAATAGGTGACATGGGAAATGGACAAAGAGTGGTGGGAATTCTTTCAGATCATGGCTATGGGGGAAGGATGGGATCATATTTTCCGGAGACGTTGTCATGAATGGGATTGGCCTCTCCAGGTCACCATGGTGAATCGACCAAACTCAGAGGATCAGCTTATGGAGAGGCAGATGTTTGAAAGAACAGGTGTATAGGGATCTGGCCAATCCTAAATTTATTCCCAAGCTTGACTATTGAATCCAAGAGCATTTACCCTTAGGGGAAATGGGCTGTATGATTCCTGTAATTAGTTAGAAGGTATAATTGTTTGACATCACTTAAAGATTAATGAGTATACCGGGAGTTCTTCCTTTTCTTCTAATTTCATTTATTCGCTTTGCTACCAACTGGGTTGGATGGAATGGTGTCTGTGACAAGTCATCAAGACCAATATTGGTAAACCCCTGAGGGAGGCACAGCTGGTCTCGGATGTCTGGTAGCCTTCTCTTACAACAGACTTCCTTCAACTCTGCAGGGGCCTCTGTCTTCACTGTCCTTTCATTCTGATGCCCCACCATTTATTTCTACATCTTCTCTGTCTTAGGGAACAATGGCACTGAGGGCTTATGGGCTTGGGCTGTGGGTCCACATTGACATGAAGTTCAACCTCTCCACGGTCAATGATTTGCTGTCTTACCTTTAGCAATCACTTAATCTCTCAGAGTCTCAATGTCTTCATCTCTAAAATGGGAACAAATCGTAGAAATGAAATCTCAGGGTTCCTATAACGATTAAATGAGATATGCATGGAACACTTTTCTCTGTTTAGGAGTTGAGCAGTTGTACTATCTCAATACATTTTGGCTATCCTAATTATAGTGAGTTATTATGAATTTACGCCATTATTATTATTGATAATCAATCAACTAATTTTTAATAGCAAGGTAGGTATTTAGTATTTTCAGTCTGAATTCAATGTGTTTAATCCACATATATATCTTCTTAAGATGTCCAGCCTTTCAGAAAGGAATACCTGTTTTATTCTTAGGCCGTGTCAAAGCCAGTCTCCAATAAACATGGGCTGAATGAATCAAAGAGAATAGCAGTGACGTTCTATTGGTGCTGTTCAAATCACCCTCAAGATAGCTACTTAATTCACTTGCAACCGACCTATCCAGAAATTCTTCCTGCAAGAAAAAGTTTGGGATAAAGAATATAGCAAATCAATTATTTTCTTCTCCCCCAGTCTCCTAATAAAACCGACCTTACCCAGGTTCTTTTCTAGCTATTCTGTTTTTTATTACATAAAATGCTTAGGTGATTGCCAATAAGTAGTGTATGAATACTTAATGAAGGTGGAATGAATTATAAATGGCTTGGAATTTATCTACATTGCTTCCTTGCTGATGGCAGAATGGTCCTTTATCTCCTATCAAGATGTACAGGAGTCAGTAGGTGAGAAAGTATCCTGGTTGATAAATTTAAAAATTGTTACCGGATGCCATCTTAGGTTACGTGGAACTCAGTATCATGTGGCAGAGAGGGAGGAGTTTGACCAGGAAGCATGGTGAATATGATACTGGCAGGGGAGTGATGGGATTGGTCCCTAAGGATGCCATTACTGCTCGAGTAGAGACCTCAGAATAGAGGCAGATAAAGGCATGGGTGGGAGTTGTAGTTACCACTTATTCACTGTGATTGAGTACCAGTTAGGCGGAGGTCTGAAAAGCGTTTCCAGTACTTTGATTTCAAGGAGAAGCTATTGGATGACATTACCTAGAGAAGGGACTTCTATATCATTTTTCCATCCCAAAGCCATCTGTCAACAGCTAGCTCCATAAATACAGTGAACTCTCATTAAGAAAGGTACCAGATAAACCTCCACATCGCAAAGGCTTAATGCAAAATTTATTCCTTGCTCACATAACAGGCGTCTCTCCTGAGTGGTTCTCCTCCAAGTGTTGATCCAGGGGCACAGGTTCTTTCATCTCGTGGCTCTGTAGTCTTTGTTCTGTTCCCAAGTGCGCTCAAGAGGTAATCCCCTTTTCAGCCAATTGGAGGAGGTGTGAGCGGGAGGATTTTATAGACCAGGTCTGGAAGTGGAGTGCTTCCATTCTGCCCACATCCCTTTGACGAGGACTCAGTTGCATGGCCATGCGGACTCCAAAGAAGCTGATAAATGCAACCTAGGTGCCCAAATAGGAGCAATAGTAAGTCTGATGCATGGTCAACTGTGTCTGCCACATTTTTCAAATGGCCAAGAAAATACATGCCCTGAGAAAATGAGAGGGTAAATTTTACTGAAAAATAAGTCGTCTTATAGAGTGTTTGCAAACTCTTTTGTAAAAAATCCTTCTAGAGTATTGTGTTTGCGTGCACACAGTGGAAATGCCAGATATAAATTGTCTTAATTTCTAAGAATTTCCTTAGTAACATTTTATCAGTTTTTTCATCATAAGGTAGACTTTTATTTAAATTGCCTATATAGTTAAGGCACAAAATAAATAGGTGCATCATTAGTAAAAATTTACACAGCACAGCAATGGATGAAGAAGATATTTAGAGTTGCTCATAATTTAACCTATGTTAATAGCTTGTTTTATATACATCCAGTGTCCTTTTTCTCCACATAAAATTACCTACTCTCAGGGGTCAGCAATTTCTTTTCTGTAAAGGACAAAAGAGTAAATATTTTAGGCTTTGCAGGCCACACTGTCTCTATTGCAGTCTCTCAGTTCTGTCATTGTAGCACAAAAGCCATCAGAGACTTAACAAATGAATGTTAGAGTTCCAATAAAACTTTATTTACAAAAATAGGCGAGGGATGGGATTTGGCCCACAGGTCAACCTTTGGCACTCCTGCAGAACACGATGGATACAAAGTAATGCATGCAAAGCACTAAGAGGTTCTGCACACATGTAGTGCTCAGAAAATATAAATTTGCTCTACTTACCTTGAAAAGAATTCAGTTGTATGGCTTCTAAGCATTTAAAACTTCATAGATACATGTTTAGTTAGGCATAGCAAAAGTCTAAAACCATAGACCTTGAACTCTGAAAGAAGCTTTAGAAGCCTTGGGGAAGGGGAATATTTTTACTTTTTACTTTATTTCCTCCTGTGTTGTTTGGGTGTTTTTTTTTTCAATGAGCATATTTTACTATTGTAATAAAAAAGATATTTTAAATGTATATACTTCAAACTTTTTGCTGACTCAGAAAAGAATGTTTCATTTTAATCCTGAACATGTAACTCATTTGCATTTTTCAATAACCGGTTGCAGTTATGTTTCAGCATTGTAGCTTGAACCGCAAAATAACATTGAAAGAGCTTAGGCATAGCCAGAAATGCTTCAAGGAAGGCAAGGTCACGACTTCCTCTTTTGAACAATTTAGCTGACAGAGACATTGGTAAACGGGAAGGGAAGTGGTCTTCGAGGAGCCTGGGTCCCTCTGCGGTCTTGGGTCCTTTTGTATAGCCCTCTGCTGTCACCCTTTTACCATTGTGTTGTGATCTTCTTGGCCTCCTGTGGACAGGCAGGGCTCACCTGCCGGCAGACACAGGCACTTATAAATGCCCTACCAAATAACTACACAAATTAGCCAGCCCTTTTCCAGTTAGCACCATGCCTGGCATAGACTAAACAAATACATGTTCATTTTAATTGGATGGGCCCAGCAAACTGAAGGTGGTGGGTAGCATTTTCTTTATGGGCAAAGTTGCCTTGTTCCTTTCAGGTTTCTGGGGATGCAACTTGTCCTACTATAATTACAATAAAAAGACACATTTTTATGAGACTTCAGAAGTGTTGCTGTACCGGTGAGATTACCTTGTGTGGGGTGACATGATTAACCTAAATTAACCCTAGACATCATCCTGTGAACATTACCATGAAGAAAAGAGACATCAGTGTCTATTCTCTGCTATGGTAGTAAACAGTTTTTCATCAAGTTTCCCCTTAATTTCTTCTGTGCTGCTTGGTGCTTTTCCAAATTAGAAAAAAAATGTAAAAATGTTAAATGTGGCTGCATTTTTTTTCTGTTTTCGGTTTTTATCAGCTCCTGGTTTCTCTCTTAATTTCTCCATGGGCCACAATTCTGATTACTCTCCGTCTACCGAGTTGTCAGTCAAATTTCACACTTTCTTTGTAAAACAGGAATAAAACAGTCAGACAAAACAGTAGCCTTATAAAAACCACATTTTCTCACAGAACAGCATTGTTTGGACTGCAGGACAGTTGTAGGAATCACAATATAATATCTTCTTGAGGGGTTGACCATGTTCTTTACTAGTTTGCTATCAGGCCAGGAGAGGGAAAAGCCTCGTTATTATTTGAATCAGTTTATAGCAACTCATGAATTAAAAGCTCACACCCGAAGGAGTATTTTCAACTTAATGGAAACAATTTATCTAACACTTGGAATTCTTTACTAGACTCTACATTGACAGATGGACATTTCTCCAACGCAGGTGCATTTTACGGTAGTCTGTTGATGCAAGTTAACATCCGTTAAAAAGTAGAGCCAATAAAAGGCAATTTCTGTCTAATAAGGAACACTGAAAATGACCTAAACAATCCCAGTTTTATAAATTGTGCTAAAGGTAAGTCTATGAGAATGCAAGCGGGTTTATTTGGTTTTAAACAACACTTTCCTGGTCTACTCTGTGTGTAACTCCGTGAGATGACACGATGATTTTAGGAGCAGAGCTGATGTGTGTGAAAAGTTACACTCTCAGCACTGATTGCTTCATAATAAGGGAATGCTATGGAAAGAGGAACATGTGTTTCCCTCAGATTTTTCAGAACCGTCTAAAAGAGCAGCAATTGTTTTAGAGGCATCTGTCAATTCCAAACTATTCTGAAAGAAATTTTTGCCCACCTTAAAAGAAAGCATCAAAATGTCGTAAAAAATTGGAAGTCCATAAGCTTGCATGGCCACTGCTGAAATTCTCTGGGGTGAGGAGTGGGAAGGGGGTTAAGATCCAATCTTGAACCTCTTCTAGAGTTACTTGGGGGATCTGAGTCTGTACTTTCTGGGTAAATCATAGCTTATTAGTGCCAGAAGTGAGGTTACCATTCCTTCGGTGAAACAACTGCTATTTTACACATGGAGAAACTGAATCCCAGTAAAACAAAACAACTTCTGGGACATCACACCGTAGGTTGGTGGGAGACTCTTCCCTGGGGTCCACATCTTCCTGACCCTGCCTCTGTCCTGCTGTAGGCTGGCATTGTAGCGTTCTGCCTTACACAGAGCAACTGCTTCATAAATGTGTGCTGCACGCATGCAGAAAGAGGTGATAGTTTAATTTCTCTAGCATGAAGAGAGGTAGTAAGTAAACCTCAGAAAACTGAGGAGAGAAAACTAAATAACAAGCATACCCCACAGCTATTGTGGGTTCTGTTTCAGACCACCACAATAAAGCAAATACAGTAATAAAGTGAGTCATACGATTTTTTTTGGTTTCTCACTGCATATACAAATTATGTTTATACCAGGGTTCCCCAACCTTTGGGCCACAGACCAGTACCAGTGACCCACGGCCTATTAGGAACTGGGCTGCCCAGCAAGAGGGCAAGTGGGCAAGTGAATTAAGCTTCATGTGTATTTACAGCCACCCCTTGTCGCTTGGCATTGCCACTGCCTCCTGTCAGATCAGTGGCAGCATTAGATTCTCCTAGGAACACAAACCCTACTGTGAACTGTGCATGCCAGCATTCTGGACTGCATGCTCCTTATGAAGATCTAATGCCTGATGATCTGTCACCATCTCCCATCACCCCCAGATGGGACTGTCTCATTGCAGGAAAACAATCTCAGGGTTCCCACTGTTCTATGTTATGGTGAGTTGTATGCTTATTTCATTGTATATTACAATGTAATCATAACAGAAATAAAGTGCACAATAAATGTAATGTACTTGAATCATCCCCAAACCATCCCCGCCTCCCTACAAAGTCTGGGAAAATATTGTCTTCCATGAAAACAGTCCCTGGGGCCAAAAAGGTTGGGGAATGCTAGTTTATGCTCTACCATAGTATAAAGTCTGTAGTAGCATTGTGTTTTTTAAAAAATGTATATACCTTAATTTAAAATGCTGGGGACTGGGCGCAGTGACTCACACCTGTAATCCCAGCACTTTGGGAGGCTGAGGCATGTGGATCACGAGGTCTGGAGTTTAAGACCAGCCTGGACAACTAGTGAAACCCCATCTCTACTAAAAATACAAAAAATTAGCTGGACACGATGGTGAGTGCCTGTAATCCCAGCTACTTGGGAGGCTGAGACAGGATAATCGCCTGAACCTGGGAGGCACAGGTTGCAGTGAGCCGAGGTCGCGCCACTGTATTCCAGCCCGGGTGACAGTGTGAGACTCCCTCTCAAAAACAAAAACAGAAACAAAAAACAAAACAAAGCAAAAATGCTTCATTGCTAAAAAAGAAGTGCTAGGATTCATCTGAGCCTTCAGAAAACCACAATCTTTTTGATGGTGGAGGGTCTTGCCTCTATGCTGATGGCTGCTGACTTATTACAGTGGTAATTGCTGAAGGTTGGAATAGCTACAGCAATTTCTTACAGTAAGATGACAATGAAGTTTGCTGCATTCATTGGCTTGCTCTTACATGAACAATTTCTCTGTGGCATGTGACACTATTTGATAGCATTTTACCCAAAGCAAAATTCCTTTCAAAACTGGACTCAAACCTCTCAAACACTGCTGCTGCTTTATCAACTAAGTGTATGGAATATTCTAAATTTTTTGTTATCATTTCAATAATGTTCAGAGCGTCAGGAGTAGATTCCATCTCGAGAAGACATTTTCTTTTTTCATCTGTAAGAAGCAACATCTCATTCATTCAAGTTTTATTATGAGACTGCAGCAATTCAGTCACATCTTCAGGCTCCGTTTCTTTTCCTCTTTTCTTTTTTTTTTTTTTTTTTTTTTGAGATTGAATCTTGCTCTGTCTCCTGGAGTACAGTGGCACGATCTCAGTTAATTGCAACCTCCACCTCGCAGGTTCAAGCGATTCTCCTGCCTTAGCCTCCCGCAGGCTCCATTTCTAATTCTAGTTCTCTTGCTGATTCTATCACATCTGAGTTAAAGTCTGGAACCCTTCAGTGCTTCATGAGAATTAGAATCAACTTCTTCCAAACTCCTATTAATGTTTATATTTTGATCTCCCCCCATGAATCACAAGCGTTTCTAATGGCATCTGGAATGGTGAATCGTTTCCAGAAGGTTTTCAATTTACTCTGCCCAGATCCACCAGAGGAATCGCTACCCATAGCAGCTATCGCCTTATGACATGTCTTGTCTTTCTTAAACAAAAAAGACTTGAACTTCAAAATTATTCCTTGGTCCATGGGCTGCAGATGGAATATTCTGTTAGCAGGCATGAAAACAACATCCATCGCCTTTTACATCTCCATCAGAGCTCTTGAGTGACCAGACGCATTGCTGTAATGCGCAGTAATATTTTGAAAGGAATCTTTTTTTTTTTTTTTGAGCAGTAGGTCTTAACAGTGGGATTAAAATATCCAGTAAGCCATGTTGTGATGAGATGTGCTGTCATTCAGACATTGTTCCTCCACTTACAGCACCTAGGCAAAGCAGATCTAGCATCATTCTTAAGGACCCTAAGGTTTTCACAATAGTAAATGAGCTTTGGCTTCAACTTAAAGTCACCAGCTGTATTAGCCCCTAACAGTCTCCCCAAGGGCACCTATGTTGTCACTTTGTGTGTCTCCATGAAATATTTTTTGCTCATGTATGTAGTGATAACACTGCATACATCATTTTGAACACACCCAGTTTATAATATTGAACATTTATCTATATTACCAAAAACTCTTGTGAAACCAATGTTGGTTTCTTTTACTTTTCCTTCTTTTTTTTTTTTTAATTTGTCTTGAGATAGTGTCTCACGCTGTCACCCAGGCTGGAGTGCAGTGGCACGATCATAGCTCACTGCAACCTTGCAACCTCAAACTCCTTGGCTCAAGTGATCCCCCTGACTCACCTCCTGAGTAGCTGGGACTACAAGTGTTCACCACTGTGCTCAGCTAATTATTTTTTTTAGAGGTGGGGGTCTCACTATGGTGCCCAGGCTGCTCTTGAACTTCTGGGTTCAGGTGATCCTCCCACCTTGGCCTCCCAAAGCACTGAGAGTACAGGCCACTCCTGGCCTGATTTCTTACATGTAGCATTCAGAGGAATTGAGATGTGCCTTCAATCCCTTTAGCCTATAATAGGGCTTTAGCTTTTGTAAAGCATTTTCAGTCCCTTATCTTCTTAGTGATCATAACACTGTAAGTTAGACATGGGGTGATTATGTAATTTATCACCCAAACAGGGTCACTTCTAGAGGTGAAAGGGTGCTATTAATACTCACATTAGGACAACAGGTGTAACCTGGGACTGTCCTAGGCAAACAGAGATGCAGACACCCCAGCTAGGCAAGGCAGGGGCAATCTCAGGTTACTAAAGAAGAAGCACAGAGAACAAGCAACTGTTCAAAGACACATACTGGTAACTGGCAGTACTGACCTTAGAACCCAAGATTTCAGGTTCCTAATCTAGTGCTCTATGAACCACACCCAGTGCCTCTCCCAGAGGATCTGCATAGCTCAGCAAATATCTTAGAAAGACATACCCTCTTCCATCGATGAAATGGAGCTCCTTTCATAACAGCTCCTTTCCTTCCGCCCTTCCCCTCCACCCTCCCTGCTTTCCTTCTCTCTCTCTCTCTCTCTTTTTTTCTCTCTCTCTGTCTCTCTTTTCTTTCTTTCAATTTCTCATTGACCCCTAAGCCAGGTTACTGACACTTCATGAGAGGTCACTGTCTGAAGAAAGGCTTGCTGTGAGGGATTAAGTCCCCTTTAGTAGGAGTCAGTGGCTGATGTATTGTTTTTATTAAGGATGGTCTGCTAAAAAAAATGATCATGTATGTATGAATTAGTGTCTTATCAGACTAAAAGCTGATTTGAAATAACATCTATAATACACCACAATCAAAACATTTAGGAGCAACTATAATAATAAAAGGGCCTCTGGTGGAATATTTCAAAACTACCTGCTGGATGAGACAGGGATGAGAGAGCGTCTGACGCAAACTGGTCCTTTGCTGTCAGTCAGTCGACAAAGAGTATTGTGTTCTCTTTCCCCTCATCCTTCCCTGACTCCACGGAGGATATTCAGCTTTGAAACCCAGCAAGGGCCTGTGAGAGGCCCTGGCCAGTGGAGTGCAGTGGGCAAGGGGCACCTGAGCATGGTGATTTGGCACCTGAGCTCTGAACTTTCAGCCTTCTAAGGGTTTTGACTCCCAGCTGAGCCATCTGCTTGCTCTGTGTCTTCCACATGTTACATTTCCGAAGCCTTGGTCTCCTCATTTGTAAAAAGGGTTCCTGTAAAAAGTAAATGGATGAAACCAACAAACAACCTGTACTTCTCCCGGGAACTGATACATAAAAATATCCCTATGTGGGCTGCGCGCGGTGGCTCACGCCTGTAATCCCAGCACTTTGGGAGGCCGAGGCAGGCGGATCACGAGGTCAGGAGATCGAGACCATCCTGGCTAACAAGGTGAAACCCCGTCTCCACTAAAAATACAAAAAATTAGCCGGGCGTGGTGGCCACGCCTGTAGTGCCAGCTACTCGGGAGGCTGAGGCCGGAGAATGGCGGGAACCCAGGAGGCGGAGCTTACAGTGAGCCGAGATCTCGCCACGGCACTCCAGCCTGGGCGACAGAGCAAGACTCCGTCTCAAAAAAACAAAACAAAACAAAAAAACACAACAAACAAAATCGGTACGTGTTTCGGTGTTTTGTTTTGTTTTTTTTAATCATCATTAATTTTTGCCAGAAACTGAACTCCACTCTCACATACACATACCAGGCTTTCTGTTCCTATCTGTTGGGTGTCGTTTTAAAGATTTCCCTGTGTGTTGATCCTCTTGGCCCATGCAATGCAATTAACAGATGTGATTCATCAATGAAATCAATCTGGGATGTCCAATGGACTCTGAAACGAGTTGTTATGATAAGGGGAGATTACATGGACCTGGCAATAATCTTCCAAAGTCCTTCAAAGCAGCATTCTGTGGCTCCTCCTTGGAGCCCTGCACCCAGGAAACGGTGCTGTAGCTTCGGTGTCCAAGGGATGAGGCCTCTGTCTCAGTACTTCCTGTGAGCCACTAAACATGCTGATGCTAAAACTGTCCCGAATCTTCTCACAAAGATCCTCTGACCTCAAGTAAATACCTTTGCCCCATCCTGTCTTATTTCATTCTCCGTATGGCCCTCTGAGATGCATTCAATTATTCCTCCATTTGCCCTTTTTTAAATATAAAGAAATAGGCTCAGTAAAAGAATTTGCCCAAGGCTATACAATTCATAAGCAGAAAGTCATGCTTTGGAATGTACATGTCTGACTATAAAACCCATGCTATTTTTTCTTAATATTTTAATGGTCATCATTAAAACAATACATGTGCATTGAAAGTAGATTGAAAGCGTAAAGAAGAAACTCAGCATTGTCCATTCTCCTAGACAAAATCAATATTTTTATTTTGCTATAAATCCTGTTGTTTTTCCTGTAGGGCTGTCTTTGTATTTGTGTGCGTGTGTGTGTGCGTATGTGTGTGTGTAAATGATAATAACAGAGGATGTTACTATAATACCTATTTTCATTTTGCTTTACCCATTTAATATTCTATCATGCTTTTTCCCTATATAATTACATATTAACTATCTCTCAAAAATGATGGTTTACAGACTGTTTAACATTTCTTCACACACATATATCTTTGCGTGTGTACATATATAAATGTTTAATTCTCTCCCTCTTTAGACATTTTAGTGGTTTGATTTTTCTCAATCAAAACTATCACATAGATAAAAATCTTTATTTAAAAAAAAAAAACACAGGTGGCTTTACCATTTGCTGGATATATTCCACGTGTTCATACCATGTTACCTACCTCATTTGAATTAATCCTCCAAGCAACTTTGTGAGGTAGGTGTGACTATTATTGTGATTTTACTGATGAGAAGCTGAGATTAAAGAAGTGAAATACATCATCCAGGCAGACATA